AATCTCGTCGTGGATATAAGTGAAATTAGATGTTAGTTTAAGTGTAGATTATATATTTGTATTTGCCGGTTCAAAAAAAAAAGTAAATAATTTCAAATATTTAAGTATATAGTATTAGGGATGTCAACGGGGACAAACAGGACCGAGAGTGCATCCCCTGCCCCCAAATCCCCCTTATTACCCCCGCCCGCGTTTTCGTTCTCCCACCCTCAATTGATTTTGGATTTTCTTTTTTAGGCTAAAAGAATTTGTTGTTTGGGCATAAATAATTATTTTTAGGTAACAAATAATTATTTATAGCAAATTTTTATATGTTAAAAATAAAAAAGTTATGACATCTTAAAAATATTATACTAACAACTTAAAAACATGTTTTTTTTATTTTTTTTATTTTTAAATTTTGGTAACTCAAAAACATATTATTGTTTATTATATTTATATAATTAATGTATGTATAATTTATAAACAGTATCCACACGGGGGTTTTGGGATGGGTCTACCCACCCCCCCCGCTACCGTAATTTAAAATGAGGTTAACCTTGCCTCCACTCCCATCCCTTCTCCTGATTTTTTTTAATAAATAACCCAAATAAGATGGGTTTCATGAGATTTTTTGATATTCCTATATACTCTACTATTTATAATTAATAATAAAACACATATAAAACGTTTAATGTTATAACGAGACAAAATTGTAATTTTATTTGAAGTTTATGTCTGTTTAGTTAACAACATTTGCTTCTTCAAATGGTTGTTTTTGACAATTATATATTTATTGTTTTTTTAGAAGAAAGGAAAGAGATGATGATTCTCTTGGTGGGGAACATCCCCACCGGATTCAGTCAAAACTAAAAAAGGGCTGATACCGTATGCGCTTACGTCATCAATCTTGCTACATGCTTCGTCCATGACGTTTTTCACTTCTACCCTTCCATCTATTGTCTTTTTCATTAATATCACTTTCAGTTAAAATATTTACAAACAACCCCCACTTCCTTTCGTAGTGTACTCTTTGTTGATGGTTGATAATAAATAGTTGAATACCGAGACTCTAATTTCATAAATCCCTAGAACCATATGTTTCAAAGCAATACAAAATTTTCTATATTTTGTTACTATGAAAAATTTAAAGTTTATGGCTGAATATAATGTATTTATTTTTATTTCTTAGAAAGACTAACTTAAATATCCATTATTTCTAAACATATACATTTATTATAAACTAAATTACAAATTTGACCCTTATGTTTTATATAAAAATGTAACTTCGGTCTAAAAATTGAAATTAACCTAATATTGTCAAAATGTTTGTATTTGGTTAAGGATACGGGTTTTTGTGTTTTACTTAAAATTGCAAATTTAGTACAAAATTTTAAAGTAAAAAATATAGGATAAAGATTATATCCAAAACAAAACGCAAGTACGGACAATCTAAAAATTTAGACTGAAATTTTAAATATATACATTTTTTGTAAGACAATGACCAAATTTAAGTTTACTGTTATTTCCTCTTATAGAATTTCAAAATTGAAGGCATAAAAACATTATAGATGATAGATCATCTTTACAAAAGATTTATACATACCAAGTCAAAGTTTGTCTCTTTTTTTAAAATAATAATGTAGAGCTGTTAAATATGTTTACAAACATAACAATTTATTACTAAAGTTCGTGTTTACTAATGAGATAGTGGTTTACATATATTTTCTCCCTAAAAACTATTTAAAAGGATTTCTTTTATCGTGGTATTGACTGATTTCAAAATACATCATTATTTCAAAATAGTCATTAAAGAAGTGTTTTATGTAAAGTACTAAATTAATGGTATTTTAGGAAAACAAACTTTCAATTGATTACATTCTAATGGTTTTTTTAAACAATTACATTATACATATAAAAATAAAGAATATAACATTATTATAAACATATATTTGTGTATCTTCGTAAATATGATTGTCTTGATCTGATAAAATAATACATCAAAATACGTTCGTACCAAACAGATAATAAAAAGCGGGAATATTATAAAACGCATCTTAACTTAAAGTCATAATGGTATTACTGTAATTATTGTGAAAATTAGGGGTGATTAGGTTGAAGAATTGAGCAGCCCCCCCGTATAAACAAAATCATTTATCCCCTTGGCTTCCGCTTTCCTTGTTTCTTCTCGTCTCTTTCGTCGCCACACCCTTGAGATCTCTCCATCACTTCCCGGAGGAAATCTCAGGTTGTTTTCAGCTTTGGGGTTTTTCGATTTCATCATTTTCCCCAATTTTCATCTCCCGATTCTTCCCTTCTTGTTCTAATCCCACCCTTCGATTCAACCCCACCCCCCTAATCTCACTGATTCCTTCCATTTCAATGGGATCTCTTTCTTTGTGAGTTTTCTTTTCACGTCACAACAGTTGATCACCGCAGAAGCAATTTTCCAAATATTTTTGTTGTTAATCAAAATTGCGTTTATGGCGATCAGATTCACTGTTTCTTACTCCGGCTACGTGGCCCAAAACCTAGCCACCGCCTCCGGAAAATCCAATACATGCCGAATTTTTCACGAGGTTTTTTCTCGTCCTCGTATATTCCAGAATCCCGACCGAGATCCCGTCCCCGGGTACCATCCGGGAGCAACGGCGGGTTCAAGGTGCTCGGTTTCGGCGTATGCCACTCTCGCATGTGATTTTCTTGGCGTTGAGACCTCCACCAAACCTTCTCCCCTCGTTGTTGGATTGATCTCGTTGGTAAAGTCAACGACTACCGGTGGTGGCGTTGGTGGTGGTTCTGGGGTTTTTGGGATTTCGCCGTTGAAGGCGTCTTCCTTGATTCCGTTTTTCCAAGGGTCGAAGTGGCTCCCATGTAACGAGATTAACAGTACGGAGGTTGATAAAGGCGGTACTAGCTCGACGAAGTCCAATCAGACTACTACTGATTGCGTGCAAACCTGCAATGTTGCAAGCACCAAAATCATCGTTGAGAGGAACAATTGGTTTTCAAAACTATTGAATGTTTGCTCCGATGATGCCAAGGCCGCCTTCACCGCTTTGAGTGTCAGCATCTTATTCCGATCGCAGTTGGCTGAACCAAGATCCATCCCCTCTGCATCCATGAGCCCTACCCTTGATGTGGGTGATCGCATTATGGCCGAAAAGGTATAATCCCAATTCTAACCTTATTCCACACTATATGGACGATGGTTGCCAATTTCGCCATTTTAGCTTTTCAATTCTTATAATGATTGTAAGCAAGATTTTGAGTTTTTTTTTTTTACCTGTAATTGATTTAGGTTTCATACATCTTTCGGAAGCCAGAAGTTTCAGATATTGTGATCTTCAAGGCTCCTCCCATTCTTCAGGTGCGATTTCACTTCTTGATTATAATTATCTTTGATTAGTTCTATGTTTTGTTGTTAGCTCATTGCCTTGGATCAATAATCTTGTAGGAATTTGGTTACAGTTCTGGGGATGTATTTATAAAAAGAATTGTAGCAAAGGCTGGAGATTGGGTTGAGGTAAGATTATGATTCATGATCATCCTCCTTTTTTCAAGAGAATTATCTACAGCACTTATCTTTCCAAGATATTAACTTCGTTCCATATTTTAGGTAAGAGGAGGTAAACTATTAGTGAATGATGTAGCACAAGATGAAGAATTCATCTTAGAGCCATTAAAATACGAAATGAAACCTTTGGTAACTTTCTTTTCCTTCAACTCCATATAAAGCCTTCATTATACTCTAATTAGAACAAAAGATTTAATCTCAAATCATGTTTATGTTGTTTGTGGTTCAGCTTGTTCCAGAAGGGTATGTCTTTGTGATGGGTGACAACCGTAACAACAGTTTTGACTCGCACGACTGGTAAAGCTTGTGACTTTTATACTGTGTTTGACATTCATTGGACTGAAACTGATACTGATATTGTCAGTCTAGTCCTCTATCACGATTACAATTCTTATGATTTTTGTGATGTGATGGTGCAGGGGTCCACTTCCGGTAAAAAACATTGTGGGTAGGTCTGTGTTCCGCTATTGGCCGCCTGCGAAGATTTCAGACACTATATATAATGCGAAAAGAGGTGTTGCACATTCTTGACACTTGTCACCCTGATCTTTGGTAGAGGGTGAATCTTGAATGACTCCTTTTTATGACAATTTGGTTTTTGTCCCTCTTTTTTTTTTTTTTTTTTTTTTTTTTTTTAATTTTGTTTAACTTTTTGCTCGTTGTTTTTGAGCATTGTGAATAGTTTGCATTCGTTCTTCAATATATAACTACTATCTGGGTAACTGTGTTGATGGTCGGTTGTGGCTGTTTTAGGATTTGAAACTTCGTTCATTTTTTTAATTGTTGATGAATGTTTTGTTATGAAATTTGAGTAAAGATGAAAAGGAATCGGTCATTCTTGTAGTCTTTGAAATAACCGAGTAGAATTTTGATGCTGAATATTTATTTGTTTGAACGCTTGAAATAGTTGCGTTCAAATTGCATTGGTGTTGGACTTAAGGTATCCATTATCCAATCGTTCCTTTCTACTCAGTTTCGAAACACAACTATCCAATCCAATTTTACTTGGTAAAAAAGTTAGTAGCTCACGTTTTATAAAAAGTTCGCTGTATAATTGTAAAATCACATAGAGGTTTATATAAAAATATGTTTATTGCAATTAATAAAGGATATATATAGAAAATTTTTAAATAGTTCTATTATCTAGTTGAAAATTTATTCTGAGTAGCTTTTAAAAAAAACTAAATTATCAACTACTTTTTTTGTTTACAAAACATGACAAACTCGAAAAATAAACTAGATACATCAAATATATTATATTTAATTTATGATTAAATTGAACTTAAAAATATAAATTGTGAGTTGATATAGTACTGATGTATCGATTACTGAGTTAAACATTTTTTCCTTTCGATTTTTGAAGCATAGTTGCATCTTATTGTATATCTATATTATAAAACTTATCTGCTTAAGTGTGAATACATATGATGAAAAATGGATGAATAAAAATCCAAGGTGTTACACGTTAGTTGTTACGTCCAAACCCTCTCCACAAGCCCACAGCAATTTTCCTATAGTCCAGCCCACACACAAGATTCATTATCAGTCCAAAAATAACAAGTGTTCTTTCCTAGAAGTGCAAAAAAAAAAAAAAAAAAAAAAAAAAAAACAACTGATTCACCATCCAAAACCTGTTTGAAAACTGAAACCGATCTGATTTATAAATTTGTTTGGTTGAAATCGATCTGTTTTTTTTAGAACAGTCTCAGAACAATCCGATTTTTTTTTCCAGACACGTCTCAGGCGGTCAACCAGTCTCGTTTGAGACCAGTTTGGTAAACCCCTAGTCGGTACAAAACGAAAACAGAGTATACAAGACCAAGTTTATATATTTGGAAAGTTATTATGGACTCATAGCGACACAACTTCAAACGCAAAAAATATGATAAATCAGTTTATTATTATTATTATTTGTTGAATAAAAGATATTATAAAAAGTTTTTGTTGATATGCATATAAAGGATGTGGAATTATAAGGAGGTATGCTATATGCGAAAGACCTTGACATCCTTTTCAAGAACCTTAATATTCAATGTATCATGTATTTGTGGTCCAGTGTGAAGTGAATCGATATTCGATACCACAACGAATGTATGTAGAGTTTGGCTAAACCAACATACGAAGATATCAGATTGTTCAAAACAATCTTCAATATTTTGCAATAGCTGGATGTAAACCTACCTAAGGAAACGTTTTAATACTTAATAGAATACAATTTAATCCATTGTTACATGCTTGCTTATTTATTACTAGTTTGTGATAAAAATAACAATGAGAAACATTGATTCTTCGCTTATGCTTTCTTAATAAATTTTTTGATGTGACATACCTAATAACGAACAACACCAACCATTATTCCAAAGGCGTGGAAAATTGAACTAGGAAACAGATCAACGTTCAACGCATTGACAAACTAGAGTAGATAATATAATTATACATCTTTAAATGAAACCAAAGTGCCCTTTTTCATTATTATTATTATTTTTTTTAAATTCATTAGATATATTTTTTTTCTTCTGTTTAGAGCAAATTATCCAATGGCATTTTACTATTATTGTACAAAAGCACACATCATAATTCATATGGTCATACACAGTAACGCGTTTTCGTCAAAATCATAGCACAAACATGCATTAAAGAATTTTCATCCACCTACTTACCATTTTAATAACACGACGATGATATCTCTCAAATTATAAATGTCTCTCTCCGTGTGTTATTAAGAAATTGCTAAGTATGGATACCAAAAATGCTAGAAAGAAAGACTTCAATTAAAATCTGGATAGCTAACTATGGATTTGCATATGATTTCATCTCATTGGGGGAATTAAGAGTTGAGACTAAACATAATATCCATCAGGTTGATTCTTTCCATGGTTGCTTTATGAAGAGAAATCAACAATCTGATACTAGAACTTAATAACTTACAAATCACAAAACAATACAAGTTAATAATATGGATTTTGAAGGCTGTTTAAATGCAAGAATTGTGGAGGATGAAACATGAGAGGTGTTAAGACCATAGTTGTTAAGATCCAGGTCTTAATTATAAGATCTTACGATTTTAAGATCCTACAAGTGAAAAACAATCTCGATCACTTTACGATCCCGATTTAACCTTGTTAGTTTTATTATATAGTTGAGTTTCAAAAATTGTCTATTCAACTTGAAATCGAGTATGCAAGTTCCAAGAAGTCTTGTAGAGCATCACAATTTCATTGATTCATCTCGAATCAAGGAGCACCTTCATAATAATTCATTAGTGATCTTATGCGTTTAGTTGTATATGATCAATATGGTCTTTTTTAATTAAGATGTTTTCCTCTTAATTGTTACTGTTTGTAGCGACATAAATTATGGTTCATGTTTAAGAAGTTAAACTTGTTTCCACTATTGACATTTTAATCAACATCAAGTTATAATGTATATTTTACTTCCAATATCTTGTGAGCAAATTTGAATATAAGTTTATTTTGATAGGATGTTTCTATCACGGTCTTGCAAAACCTAAAATGATCTTAAATAAGATCTCAATCTCGACAACCTTGGCTAAAACTTAAAGGCAAACAGAAAGTGGACAACTATATTCTTTGCTTATGCATATAAAAAAATTTGATGTGACATTAGCTAAAAAAAACTACACCCAACATGTTTTCAAAAGCATGTAAAATAAGGTCCTTAGAAACAATAATAAATGCTCTAAAAATAGAATTATAACTTCACAATAAACCAAACTGTCATTTTCAAGTTTCAAAATAGTCAATTGCAACATTTTTCCATTGTCATATTCCTATAATTCAAGTCCTCGCATACTAAGGTGTTCGTTGAAATCCAATATATTCTGATAGAACCGATCCAATCCAATTCGTTATATACCACCGAATTGAACATTATATCGGTTTTATCCATCGGTATATTCGATTAGTTATCCATTATACAACAAACTCTAATCTAGTTTTTATCCGGTAACAACCAAATATAATTATGATAAATGTAAGACATGTGCAATCTCATATAATAAACTTTCCAAAAGAACTCTTATGGAGAGTAGGAAGACTCAAACATAAGTATTGGCATAAGGAACTGTGTCGCACCAATATGTGATACACTAACAGTCCCTCTCAGATTCGAACATTCGATGAGTATGAGTATAGAGATGAATGTGCTTAGCCATGGAGGTGTGTGACACCGACTCTGATACCATATAAATATTTGTGCAACCCGCAATTGTCTTTCTAAAATAACTATTATGGAGAGTAGGGGACTCCATCATATACATTGACATAAGGGACCATGTCGCACACGTATGAGATATACTAACAATAAATAAAACTAAAACCACACACAATTACGTTTAATAAGACTAGACACTTCAGCTTCAACGACCAAAGTTCGACTAATATACGATAGTAAAAAAGTTTAAAACTTGTAAACTTCAGATGGATGGTAATTAGATATTTATTGGATAATATTAATTGGATATACCATTGGATGAATGTTATATCGGTTTAGTTATGTTATCCGTTAGACTTTTAGGGTCATCCAAGAACCACCAATCCAATATAATTGAATTTTGAAAATTTAAAGCGGTCCATCGAATTGTGATTAGATATCCAATATAATAAGTAAGTTTATAATTTGATCAGTTGGTTCGAATTTGGTTCGAATTAGACCGATTAATTCATGTACACCCCTGACACATATGTAATACCAAGAACCGCATAAAAACAATATTTTATAAAAATTATCATGTGTATGTATGATCTTGTTACTAAGAAAATGATAACTATCGATCAACATATAATTTCAACTATTTTATCGAAGTTAACATAAAAAAAACTACATAAAACAAAGACAACAAGAGTGGCTTATATACTTAGTAAACCCAGTCCAGACTAAAGCTATGATCTACCACTTTAACACAAATACCATTCAACTCTTTCCCCATTTCATTCCATTCCCATGAAACCTCTTTATCAAAAATCGCTCTTCTTAACGATCTCAACCACTTAATCGATCTTGACAACCTCTTAATCCCTTGACATTCCCTCATGTCTATCTCCTTTAAACTCACACACCAACCTATTTCTTCATTCAGACATTCAAGATTCACACACTGAGAAACATCCATATATTCCAACGATATGGAACTCTTTATCCCACATGTTTGTGATAGATTTTGAAGCAAAATCATTAATGTTGTTTTTGGATGTTCTTTTTTCTAGATTTGAAGATGATGTTGAACTACCAATGATCAAGTCAACCAACAAGGATAACTTGTTTAAGGTCAAATGCAACATTGATAGAAAACAAATACCATATACAATAATAGCCGACAAGAGAATAGAAAACACCCTCGATCCTTCTTAAAATCCAAAGCTCTAAACAAATCTTCAAAGATTACGATAACTTAAGGAAAATGAAAAAAGATCTTTTTGTAGCATGTTTGGTTCTGTTGTTGTCAACCATTTATTCTTTTACTTTCCATAAGTCACAAAGAATTTTTGTATCAACTTCAAATGTTTGAGACATGTCCTATAATTTTGGTGTGTTCATAACAGTTATGATATCATCAATGGAATAAATGGGCCAACAAAATTATCCATG